TTACTAAACCCAACCACACTACATTATCCTTCTCCCTTATACCCAAACAACTCACATAGCCAACCCGTCTAGCTGCCGTTACAGACCACTCCCCCCTCTAAAGCCTACCTCCTGGTAGGCTTAGTCTTCCGTGGATATCGTTCGTGAAATCGTTTGACAATATCGGGCGAATGTTCGATATCCGACAATGGTTGCCACGAAGCTTCATCATAACCGGCATACTTAACCAAGTATTCAAATCTTCCTCGACGATCCCTGGAATCCAAAATATCCTCGACTTCCCACTCCTCCTGTCCTTCAACTTCGACCGGCGGTGGTGGTAACTGTTGTTGTCCTGGTAAAGGATCGTTTGCTGCAGACGACAATAAAGAGACATGGAATACGGGATGAACTTTCATAGAACGAGGGAGTTCCAACTCATAGGCATAAGGACTAACGATCCGCTTCACGATATATGGTCCAATGCGTTTCCAATCAAGTTTCTTCGAAGGGCGTTTGGTGAGGACATGGCGTGTTGATAAGAAAACTCGATCTCCTACTCGATAGTGGGGCGCTGGAGTCCGATTCATATTGGCCGACTCCTCCTGTATCCTTTGTGCTCGGAACATTTCATCTCGTAGAAAATCTAATATTTCCTTCATTTCCCGTGCAATACCATTTGCTTGATCTTCCGCCATGGTCCTACCATGTTCCAAGGGTCTAAAAGTCATTCGAGGGTTTCTTCCCGAATTAGGGTAGAAAGGAGAGATTTTCGTTGTTTCTGAAGCATGGTTATTGGTTGCAAATTCTGCCATTGGTAACCATCGGGCCCAGTCGTCCTGTTGATAGGAAACATAACTCCGAAGGTACTGTTCCATCACGGCATTAATCCTTTCCGTCTGCCCATCCGTCTGAGGATGGAACGCGGTAGAAAACTTTGGTGATATTTCCAGACGGTCGCAAAGAGACCTCCAGAATTCCGCAACGAATTGTGTCCCTCGATCGGATACCATAGTGTCAGGTAATCCATGTAACTTCCAAACATTGTCAATATACAGTCTCGCTACTTCCCTTGAGTCCGCCTCCTTTGTTGTTGGTATTAGGTGTCGCATCTTAGTTAACCTATCCACCACGACCAAGATTGCATTGTATCCATCGCTCTCTGGGAGGTCGGTAACAAAGTCCATTGACACATCCGTCCATGGTCCATCGGGTATTGGCATCGGCCGGAGTACTCCATAGGGTGCATTGCGTGGTGCCTTGCTACGGGCACACACATTGCAATTCCGAACATACTGATCGACATACTTCCGCATTTGTGGCCAGTAATACTCCCGATTCAGGAGTTCCAAAGTCTTCGCTCTGCCTGGATGACCTGCCGATGGTTTGTCATGATACTCTTTTAGAAGTCTTAGCCGAAGATCATTGTCGTCGGGTACATAGAGTGCGCCACGGTAAAGTAGCCGACCGTTGTTGTCTTCCGTACATTCGGCAAGCGAGATCTTATTCGAGTGACGGATGCCGTTCCGAAGCATCGCGAGTACTTTGTTCGGGAAACTGTCAACTTGGTAAGCATTTAAAAACAACTCTTCTACAGTGGACATTCCTTCAGCGGATTCATTTGAAAAAGAACCCGCGAACAAACTTAGCTTTAAATCCAAATTTTTTCGCTTCAAAACCACCTGGCTTTGATGCATCAACCGTTCATCCCCCTCCTTAGGTAGGTCACCCGACCTCCTAGTCAATGCATCCGGCTTTGCCCCTTGTTTCCCTGGTCTAAATTGAATGACGAAATCAAAACGTGAAAGAAATTCCGACCAACGGGCTTGTCGACGGTTTAATAGCTTTGTTGACATGAAATATTCGAGGTTCCTATGATCGCTGAGGACTTCGATTGGAAATTGTGCCCCTTCCAAATGATGTCGCCACTCCTCAAAACATCGTACAATTGCCAGAAGTTCTTTGTCATAGATTTCGTAGTTGCATTCCGCAGGGGAATGCTTCTTTGAGAAGAAAGCAACTGGATGTAAAATTCCTTCATCATCACGTTGGGACAGGATTGCAGCAGAAACATAGTCGGATGCATCGGTTTCTACTACGATTTTCCGATTCGGATCAAAGTGCGCTAGTATGGGTGCCGTTGTAAACATCTTTTTCAATGTCTGGAATGCTTCCTCCCTTTCATCCGTCCATTCGAACTTAACATTTTTCTTCGTCAAAGCCGTAAGTGGAGCAACAATCTTTGAGTATCCTAGGATAAACCGTCGATAGAAATTAGCAAATCCCAAAAATACCTGAACATCATGAAGGTTCCTTGGTATAGACCACTCCAAAACATCGACAACTTTCTTCGGATCCATTCGATTCCCATCCGGGGTGAGAATCAGGCCGAGATACTTTGTTTCCTGAACCATAAACTCGCATTTCTCAGGTTTAAGGTGAACATGATTCTCATCAAGTACCCTCAGAACCTTCTGAATATGCTCTTTGTGCTCCGACAGAGTCTCCGAATAGATCAGGATATCATCGAGATATGCCGTTACAAATTGATCGAGGTAAGGACGTAGAATATCATTGATCCAGTGTTGAAATGTGGCAGGGGCATTCGCTAATCCAAACGGCATTACAGTATACTCGAAATGTCCATAACGAGTCCTGAACGCCGTCTTCCATTCGTCTCCCTCGGCTACCCTGATTTGGTTATATCCCCAACGTAGATCCAGCTTGGTGTAGTATTGCGCTCTTGATAATTTGGCCAGGGTTTCCTTTAACAATGGTAACGGATATCGATTTTTAACCGTGATTGCATTGAGACCTCGATAATCCACACAGAGCCGGAGAGTCCCATCACTTTTCTTTACGAACAGTATGGGTGCTCCCGCTGGCGACTCACTGGCCCGAATAAATCCCTTAGGTAGGTTTTCATCAAGGTATTCCCGTAGTGCTTTTAGTTCGGTTTGGGAGAGGCCATATATCGGTCCATGGGGAGGTCGTTTACCTTCCTTCAATATTATCTCAATATCATGGGACGGTCGATGAGGTGGAAGGGCTGAGGCATCATATTCTTGAAACATATGGAGACGATGGTGGAACTCCTTTGGTACTAGTTGCTTGACGTCGACGGTGGATTTCTCAACTGCTGAAACGACAACAGTATGATGTTCCGGTAGAGGGATCGATATTCCATGGACAGTGACTGTCGTTCCACTGAGTGAACAGTGTTTAAGACAGTTCCGAGAATCAAAAATAAGTAGATTATCCTTTGGCCGAATGGTGACATCGTGACGTCGCATCCACGGTATTCCCATCACGATCGGATAATGTCCCAACTTTGTAACGAAACATGAGGCAATTTCTCGGTGACCATGAATATCCAGCGACACATTGACAATATGGGTGATCTGTCCTGATTCAATAGGCCTTCCATCCATAACATCTACCTGACGAGGTACTTTAAGGCGGGTCATTGTAAGATTATTGTGGCGTACAAAAGATTCGTCAATAAAAGCGTATCCAGAGGCTCCGGTATCAATAAGGGCATAGGTGGGAATGAAAGAGTCGGGATTCTGAGAGACCGAGCAGGTAACAACAAGAGAGTCTTCGGACATCTTATTCTCAGACACAGCGGCAACAGGGAGAACAGAAACAGGTGGCGGGGCTGGCCCCTTTGGTTTGCCATTTTTTACCAAAGGGGCTGACCTTTTAACGCCGGCTTTGGGGATCCATTTTCAAGTGGCCTTTCTCGCCAATTGCTAATGGAACGGGGATCTTTGGCGCGAGGAGCCAGGTAACGAGGTTTGGAGACATGGCGAGATTTAACTGTAGCGGTGGAAACAGAGATACGAGAACGAAGGTCAGCGATAGTGGCATTGGCTTGGGCCTCCCAGGCCTTTGCAACAGAGGTGATATAAAGAACCTCATCTTCAACATCAGCGAGGTTCTCGTCGGCAATGGCGAGACTTTCCTGGTGTAGTGCCAGACGGAACCGAAGCTCTTCTTCTTCAGCTTTCGATTCCTCCAGCTCAATCTTCAAAGCAACAATAACCTCGTCGCGACCTCGGATGATCTCGGTAGAATCTTCCTGGTTATCGCACAAGGTTTGCCAAAAATCTGCAGCCTTTTCGTTGGCTGCTTCTAGTTCTGTGGTGAGGCCGGCAATGACCTCTTCCTGAGCCGTATCGATAACGGGTTCTAGTGGCGCGGGGGTTTCAAGAGGCTTGGTGAGAGCCTCCAAACACTCAGCAATAAGACCATGAGCCTCCGTAAGTTCTTCGCCGAAGTCTATATCGGCTGGGAGGGGACCATAGGTAATCAGAAATTCTGAAAGACGCTGCAACAGCGTATCCTGAGTGGTGTCGGACATAGTCACGACCAGAGCTAAGCAAGGTGGTGTTGTATCGGTTGGCTGTAGGGATGCAACCTAAGTCTAACGGGGACTATGGACGTAGGAACTATGAAGCCAAGGAATACAACCGAGGCGAAGACGTAGAGGTAAGGAGGTTCGTGGACTATGGACTATGGGGCCGAAGGGTACACCTAAGGCAAGGACGGGGACTGTGGACTATGGACTATGGATGGTTATACCTGGTCTAGTATACCGGGTAAACCCTATGACGTAGCGCGAACCAAATAGTATTCGTGACTGTAAAGAACAGAGGTTGCATAAAGAGAAAAGAGAAAGAAAGAGAAACAAGAAATCACGAGACAACGCCCCCCCTTATATATCCATACCCTATCCCAATGCTGACTCATACCCTCGCGTAACAGAAACAGAAAGAACATAATAGAAACCCGCTTTACTAAACCCAACCACACTACATTATCCTTCTCCCTTATACCCAAACAACTCACATAGCCAACCCGTCTAGCTGCCGTTACACGAGGTATAATTACTGTGCATAGGTGACTGTTGAGTGGTTGAGCTGGCGGATATAGGATAGTGCGAAGGAATGAATGGGCGCCCGGAGGCGGCCCTCCGTACTGAACGTCGGGCTGGCATATATGTAGGCCACCTAGGCGACTTACTCGGTGATTTGGGTGCGCAGCGAGCTGGGTGCAGTGGTGATTTGGGTGCGCAGCGAGCTGGGTGCAGTGGGGATTTGGCTGCGCGGATGGTTGCTTGCGCTGCGCGGATGGGTTGCCTGCGCTGCGCGGATGGGTTGCCTGCGCTGCGCGGGTGGTGGCTCGCGCAGTGCGCGGGGTATTGCTCGCACGACAAATTGGGTGATTTGGGTGCGCAGCGAGCTGGGTACAGCGGGGATTTGGCTGCGCTGTATATTCAGCGCGATCCAGTCATTTTGGAGGAGGTTTTGGGGGGTAAAAAATATACGGTGTAGGCATGGCAGCAAATTCACCAGGCTCAGAAGTGGTGATAGAAATTTGATGTCAAAATAGGACTAGCGGGCATTATCAGCCACACGAAATAAATCACACCACCTGAGCCTGGGACCGAGGCTAAATCGGATCTGCGGAAAAGGTCCCGGTGAACATGGTTACCGATTTTCATTCTCACATCCTGGTGGATGTTTAATGTACCTGTCAAGATCCCTGAGTGAATTGATCCGTAGAGGGCGAGCTTAGGTGATCATCGAGGGAAGACGATTACTGATTTCTAAACTTAAGCTTCACCCTACATAAAGTTACTCTACCTAAGCTTGGGATTGGGTGCAGTATACGACAACATAATTTAAAATTCTGTCTTCCTCTGTCTTCGTAATGCACTCCCATGAATACCCCCTTAGTATGTAATAGTCACCCGGTAAGTACCCGGAGTGAGTATGTACTTGCATACATGCGTTCCCTTCCTTGGCCACTGTCATGGTACATTGATGACCATGTAGCAGGTCTTAATTCTTGCAAGAGAAGCTTGCCTGAGGAGCTTGTACTTCGACATTTCCAGGTCAGTTGTCTAGTACAGCCTCGGTTTGTATGGAAGACGTACCAGTGCAGTGATCGTTCGGCTTCAACGCTCTCCAGCAGGAATGTGCATAGTGACGATGTCTTTTTTGTGAAGTTTTCGAAAAGGTGGTAGCCCAGTGTCTCCACGTGCGGATGCCTGCCGAAGAACGGTTTGACGTCATAGATGTACGTCACTGAAACCACGCTAGCTACTCCCTGCAGGCGGCACCTTGGCACCATTTCAGGGGCGCTTCAGCCCGTTCGGTGTTGGCGTGCGCCAGACCGGCCCCGATAAGATACCAAGCTCAATCAGAATCTGATCTGCGAATTAACGGGACGTGCCGGAACACAGGTTCTTCAAAATACTCAACGTCCTCCGCTATCCCGCGGCAAATATCACCAGAGTTATTACCCTCTTCAAGATACACTAGCCTTCTCAGCCCCTTTCACAAACTGGATTTCACGATTGTACAAAGGTATATTCGTTATAGAGAAAACCCTCATACATAACTGCAGGGAATCACTCTATATTGTGTGTTCGCGCTTAGCGAGTCGAGGATCTCTTTATTTGCTGATGCGGCATTTTAGGTGTAAAAGATGAGGATTATATCTGACACAGCCTCTTTTTTTCTGACAGGGTAGCTTTTCCCAATCGATAGGGAACTTTGACGATTGTACCGACGACGGCTGATCAGCAAGATGTCCACTCTTTTTGCTCGTTCCGTATCAAACCAACCGAGATGGATTGATATGTATCTATGAGCAATCAGGGAAGATTATAGTTGGATCTTTTTATCTGCCTGCCATCGGTCTTTTATGAGCCTTTCCAGGCACGGTTTTTTTCCCTTTGAAACAATTTGATTCTTCCGGAGACGCTTGCAATATTTATTTATGCAAAGTCCGGCTCATTTCTTTTCTTTTCTTTTTTTTTTTTTGCTGCGACCCCGCGGCATGTTCACTATATAATAACATAAGTTGCCAATAGCTGGGATAAGTTGACGAGCGATTTCTGACGTTGGGCTAAGACTATCAACTGCTTAGGATGTTCAGATAGGGCTGGAGTAAGAATTAGTGGCGACGGTGCCGAAAAATACACTCGGATGCAAGTGCAAACTACTCGTAACGTCATAGCGTTTCCGAACACGACCAATATTGCATGACATACGAAAAGGTGGATTTGGCGCTTTTTTATATGGTATGCAATAGCAGTCGTGTTCGGAAACGTCATGAATTTACGAGTAGAGTACAGTAGAGTTTCTAACCGTGGCAACGACGTGTTGCTTTTTCTAGATAATTGAGTGCCTTGATACCTAAGCACAGCAACACCACCGAAAGCAATCCACACTTTATTCATACCCCAATTGTATTTCATCTGGCAGACGGCAAGACGGCAAGCGGAGAACAAGTGTCATTGGATGCTACATGCATGTATTAAAGATCTCAGGTTGCCATCGATATCGTGCAGGATGAAGCAGAAAAAAAATGATACGAATTCATATCCTAGCTCCACCGGCTCCATACAGAATAGGTTAAACCCTCAGTTTTCCAGGGTCCAACGGAACTTGGCTAGTATGCTTTGAGGGTCTGGCCAATTTGTATCGTCATTTTGCATTTAAGGAATTGCCGGTACAGATACACGAGGAAGGGGTTAGAATTAGTGCTTTCTGTTTCGTGCGATTTTCTGCGGGCTTCCAATGCATCTTAGAGGGGGTACATGGTACATACATGTGGTGTAGTTATCGTTGGCTCCACCCGATATGTTGCAGGGTTTTGCTTTGCTGTTCTGGGAGGCGGGGTGGTGTTGAAAGGGTTCCCATATCAGCATGTAGCTACGATGGCCATGATCCACTAATAATTGTACGTATTTTACAAAACCGGGACTCAGACAATGGTGATATAAAAACCCCCGCCCGCCCCCATTACTGTCACCTCTCAACCTTTACCCATTCATCTTTTAGTCTACGGGTTGTAAGATCTGTAAACTTTATTAGCCACCTCACCCTTATCTCTCTACTTCTCGCCTAACTCATTATTCGAGTACCTGAGTCTTCCCTTATAAACTTTAGCCACCTATCACCTAAAGAAAATCAATATGGCACCTGCTGTAGTAAACACCCAGCCAATCAATGCCCCCGAGCTTGAAAGGGCCAAGCCCCATACCGGAGAGATCAAGGTCCAGGACCTTAGAGTGCCGACAAAGAGCTTGGAATATGCAGATGGTGATCTTGGACCGAAGAGAGACATTATCATCTTCTCAGGTGTGTTGTTTTGAACGAGAACCTGTGCTAGAGAATGTTTGTTAACGAGCTTTCTAGATTTCGATGGCACTATTTTCATGCAAGACACTGGACATATCTTGTTTGATGCCCACGGCTGTGGTGCCCAGAGGAGAGAGGAGTTGGACGAGGAGATCAAGAATGGTGTAAGGTCATTCCGTGAGGTTTCCGAGGAGATGTGGGGAAGTTTGAACGTTCCGTTCGACGACGGCTTCGAGGTCATGAAGGGAGCTCTGGAGATCGACCCTGCGTTCCTCGAGTTCCACGACTTTTGCATCAAGAATAACATCCCATTCAACGTCATTTCTGCCGGCTTGAAGCCAATCCTTCGCCGCGTTCTCGATGAGTTCCTGGGAAAGAAACAGGTAAGCTCCTACCCATCATTTCCTACTGTTGCATCCGGCTAGTCGAGCTAACCCTTGTTTCCCCCCTTAGTCGAAATTTATCGATATTATTGCCAATGACGCCACAATCAGTGCAGATGGATCACAGTGGAAGCCAGTTTGGCGCCATGATACCCCACTCGGTCACGATAAAGCAGCTTCCATCCAGGAATACCGAACTATCGCCTCCTCAGAAAGTGAGGACGGGTCATGCCCTCTAATTATCTTTGTCGGAGATGGCGTTTCAGATCTTGCAGCGGCCCGTGAAGCAGACGTCCTTTTTGCTAGAAAAGGATTGAGACTCGAGGAATACTGCAGGGAAAATAAGATCCCGTATATTGCTTTTGATACCTTTGCCGATATTCAGAAGGAGATTATCAACATCACCCGGGAGGACCAGAAGGTTACCAAAGGTTATGGAAAACCTGTCCAGTACAACGTGAGTACAATGATCTCTAAAGACTTGAGTAACCTTTTTCTAACGTTGAATCCAAGCCTCGCGCCAACTTTTGGAGAAAAGCCATCAAGAAGAAGGCGGTACCTCGCTTTGTCCGAAATGCTTCGAAAGAGGACAAGCTACATCTCTGGCCCGAGACATTTTCCGTCAAGGAGCCTACAGCCAAGGATTCTGCTGCTTCATCAAGTGCTGAGCCAGCCACCGCCCAGTAAATCTACAGTGGGATCACATAGAGATCGATATATTCTTTTCAAGAGGTTTAGCGATATGCCCTTGTGTTTTTTTTACAACCTTCAAGACCTTGGCGAGGTAGAATTAGACGACCTCTCACGATGCGAATTTTTGTATTTCATTTTAGTTACCTGTTCCTGGTATGGGATTCTGGCGTATTGGGTTTCATTTTTATTGTACTGTCCGAGTTTATGTGCTTATGAAGTACACCATGAATCTACCTTGGGAAAAGGAAGGATTGGAACTAGGAAAAAAATAGTGAATCATTCATTCATATCTACAACCTTTGCGCTTCGACATTCATAGTTTGAATGAAAATGTGAATGATATCAACAACTGACCGACTACATGTAGCTAAATTACCGGGTATGTGTACGAGGTACATATGCAAGGACGGAATGGTGAGGTGTTTTGTGTTTTAGGAATGTATGCATCGGCTGCCAGCAAACGAACGAACAGACGAAAAGCGAGAGCTAGAGAGATACATGTGAAAATGTATGTATCCAAGCTAACTATGTACATGATCCTTAAAGCTGCAGGCACTCTACTGACCAAGAATATTGGCGAGCAGTGGCCTTTTCGAGCAGTGGCCGACTCTTGCTTGCCGGCAACGTTGCAACGTCGCGGTCTGATTTGCTTTTAGCCATCCTAGCCAGTCGGTGTTTAAACGTTTAATGATATCAGATGCGGGGCTTCTTATGTGCTGTACACCGTCTTATCGGGTATCAGCACTGCTAAAACAGCGGGTATGGCGTTACTGCCTTTGGTACAAGTACTTAGTTTTGTGAGGTAAGTTCTCATCTATTGTCTTTTTGTCGAATCCGCTGTTATCGCTCATCTTTTATTTCTGACACTCGTTTCCAGCTGCTTTTTACATAGAAATACTCTCATCATCGAGTCTTTAATATGTTGACCCGGATATACTTTATCGTTACTTCGCCATCGAATCCAATCGAGCCCCGCTTCTTGAACACGGGGGTGGGATCGTCCGGCCGGGTTATCTCGATGCAATAACAAATTGGTTGGTAAAACTTTCCCGGACTTATCTCTGAGTATGTAGGATGTGGCAAGTATCTCAAGTTTTGCATGAGTGGGGGTGATCTGGTCTTCACATTTGTCAACCCGAGAGCTAGTTAGTGATGGATCGTGACGCGAGTTTGGAGGGGTTTGGAGGGGTTTGAGGGCGTTTGGGGGCGTTTGGGGGGCTTGGGAGATCCCCCCCCCGAGCCGCAATTGAACACTACAATTCGGGTAATGATTTGCTGTCGGGATTTTTGCCTCGAGAGATTAGTTATCACTTGGCTACTTAGTTCTATTGGTTATACTGAACCCATAGATACTCTATATATTCGGACTATTTCAAATCCTAACAAGTACGGGACGGAAACAACGTTTGGCTGCATAACGAAACCCCTTCAGATGTTTATATATCGTGGAGATATTGTATTGATTTGAGGCAGTCTCCCATAAAGATATATTGGCATTGCATGGTGAGTAATTCGCTCAGCGAATTGACCGGTCGAGCTGAAACTGCCCTTAAGATTATATCATAGAAAGGTACCCGTACGTTTCACGTCACGTGCATAATGTGGGATGAAGGGACAGGATATAGTAAACCTGCAGGAGGTCGAGATCACGGCAGATAATGGGTCAAGATCATAGTAATATCACTATATCTCGGGTTATATGGGGGAGCTTATGCTTAAGTATGTAAGTGAGTACATGCCCCTGTATCCTATACAATTGCTATAAGTACAACGACATTCCCTTCAATACAATGAAATGTTTTCAAGTGTAAGCTTTTGATTGGTGTTACTAATTATGCATGTATGTACCTACGTTGTAAGTATTATCAGTACTCTACATGTAGCCACGTGGCGTTCATAGCGCTTGATAACTAAGTGCTTCCCACACTCAGCCTCATTCGCTTTGGATTCTGGGAGCATGGATTATCACTCGTCCCTTGATTTGGGTGTCATAATTTTCCAATGCCCTGAAGTTTACTTCAGGGTTAAGCGAGCATAGTCGCTTAGCATTTGCTTAGTTATTCTTGAGTCATCATCGTGCTGAGCAGCTCAAGCTTGAATGTAGAGACTTGACCGTCAAGCAGTTATCCGTTCCCAATTCGGAAGGTTTCTAGACAACTTCACATGAAGAATATGACCTAACAAAGCATATATATATATTTCCCTGTATCAAATAAAGAATTCTGCTGGCTTGACTTTTTAATTTTGTCGATTGCCTTTTGAAATTAGGGAAAGGAAGGCGTTAATTTACTTTGCAGGAGTTACGGCGAAACTGAAGTTAAACTAGGCTACAAGTGCGAGAAAGGAGCTCTTGTAGAGTAGGAGTACCTATGAACCGTGGGCTTCAGGGCGTTGCTAAGCGCAGCGCAGCTCCAGTTTAGATATCAAGCAAAGGATATATTTAGGAATCGAATTATATTGGCACATAATCATCTTAATGTCTTCTCTCATTCAACTTGTATCGACCCCATCATACCCTATCTCGACTACAGTCTTCTGTACTGATGATTGCTCGTAGTACTACCCAAAGAATCTTTCTATCAGGCCTCGTGAACAGCAACAATTACCTACTGGACCTAAGTGGTCTACCGTGGGCGCACTGGCGGCTGAGGTCTGGGACCTGACAAGTTGGTTGGTAACTTATTTATTGTTTTTGGGAGGTCCAGGACCTTGTTCGTTGTTCACACGAGTAGCCTGAACTATCGTTTCATCAATTGATCAATCGTGTAGAATACAGAAAGCCTCAGCTCATCACAAACATAATAGAAAATTACAATTCTTTCCATACGCCCCCAACGTACAACCCGCCCTAGAATTACATATACATATTTTAAGTAAAAACATAATTAAAAAAAAAAACGGCAAGCAGATGAAAAGATAATTTGGACACCAGATTTTTGAAACCCGAGGGAGATCTGGACTTTATGCCCTCGATTATGGCATCTCAGCTCTCTCTATTGGCGGCGGTAGATTCTCAGTGCTTCTTAAGAAGGTACCAGGACCATATTCTATTTTGTTATCTCTTCCCCCCAGTTCGTGCAATTCACCTCCCGCGCCGAGTTCCTGTATATGAACAGGAGTCATTGGGGGGTCGATCTGGACTTGTTCATTTTGGCGGCGACGTCGGCGCATGAATAAGAAGCCGATTGCTCCGGCTGATAGGGCAAGCAATCCACCGACAACACCACCCACTACAGCAGGCGTCGAGGATTTGGTTTCACCAGAAGATCCCGACGAAGATGCCGAATCCGATGTGCCTGATGATGAGGATGATGAGGACGATGAGGACGATGAGGACGATGACGCTGGACTATCTTGACTTGTCGTTGACACACCATCACTAGTGAAGAATATCTTCTCAATGGCTGGATTGGTCCAGGCGCTAGGCTTGTTCTTGTCCTTATCTGGGTTCCCGCTCTCATCACCGCCGATCACATCTGTAATGGCCTTGGGCAAAACATATGTAGCCTCAGATGAGTTGAATTCGGATTTCCAAGATAAACTGGAAGTATCAAAGACGAACAACGGGGATGTCTGGCATTGCGATATTGCAGAAGAGCTGAATGCGCCACCAATTACCGCCATTTGTCTATTGCCGATAATCTGACATGAATGGGATGTGCGCGCACCGGCGATAGCATCATCTGAATCGGCGGTGTTGTAGACCTTGATCCATTTGAACGAGGGCAACGACAGTATCCAGAGATCATTGTATGATTGCGACCCTTGGTCGGCGATGGATCCGCCAAATATGTAGATGTTGAAAGAGGACTTGTCGGGGGCGGCTTGAACCACTGAACAAGCTTCCACTCGATTGCTTGGGATATCTCCCTGTGAATTAGTGCCTACGGCAGCCTGGGAGTACCAAGTTGATGAGGCAATATCGAAGAATTGAATTTCAGCAAAGCTTGCCTGATGATCCCTGCATTAGCCGATGTAATATCAGGGTAAAGACGAATCAATATTACCATATTCTCATAGGTAGCGGTAGCGGAAGTGGTGTGAAGGGTTGGTCGCCCACTAATTGGGACCAGAATTCCCGATTCCCCGACCGGTACATATACCAACGAGTCATCCACAACAGTCAGATTTTTATCAGACTTATTCTCATAAGTCACATTTCGCGTAACTTTTGTCTCCCAGTCAAACTCAATAAGATCGGGCCTTCCAGGGGCGCCCTGTATCTTCCCTAGCTTATAATACCAGGGATCACTTGTGGTTGCCTGGTCCTGAAACCCTCCAAACGCATAAGACCTTTTTATTTTTGGAGCATTGGTGCATCCGCCTGATGCGAGTCGATTCACACTGCTATCAGTCGAGGCCTCCTTCCACGATATTTCTGAGGTGCTGGGATCAAGCTCCCAGAGTCGGAAGGTTTCCTGGGATATCTCTGTTTGCCAGCCACCATACTGGAAGAAGCTATTTCCGTCACTCCAGGCACAGGCCTCATTAACATTGGTGACGTCGTCTGGTTTAGAACGGGTGTTTAGTGGGGGTGCATTGATTTTCCAGGAGGATGATAGGTCGATGTATTGGATGCTGCCAACTATCCCACAAAGTTAGCATAGTCACAAACATTTGGTGAGCCCAAAGAGACCTAGAGCTAAGACGACGTGCATTTTGAGTACTCCTTGGTAGAGCTGTTGACAAGGTTTTGGCCGCCGTTGATGTAAAGTCTATCGCCTACAACCGTGGCTATAAGGATCAGGAACGTCAGTATATACTTATTCTTTTGAACGTTTTATCTCAAGGGAGACCTATTACTTGAGCTCCATCGTCTACTACAAAGATCCTCAAGATCTGTGGCTGTTGTCTGTCGCTTAGTCGCCAAGGAACGAGCTAATGAGGTATCGAGTAGCGATATCGATATTGTAACCATGAAAATGGCGAATCTGTTGATGACCACCATGTTTGCTGTATCACTGAAATTCGAACAATCAAATAAAAAGTGAAAAGTCGACCGAAGGGTGCCAATTATATCATCGACTTGGTTATCCAAACATCTCCTTTATACGGGCCCAGAGAGCCTTCTTATTGTTCCCAGATTGAAAGTCATGGCACCCGCCTCCCTGCATGCTGCATGCAGAATTGTTTTTAATTTCCCCAGGGGGCTAGAGAGTTGGGTTATGTAGTGTGTCGTATACGGCTCGGTATATACCGTGTGGGGTCGACATAGTTGGGACACGACAGATGAAAAGGCTAAGTACATTGATTCTACTCGAGTACTGACTTTGGTTACCAGATACTAGTACCTATTGCACATTATGAAGAGGCAATGCTCGAATCAACAGTTCTACAGACAGGCGTTTGTTTTCTGGTTTGCATCGTGCAACTAGGCTGGCTGCGGTCGATCACAATAATGCATTAAACGGGGAGTATCAAATTAATCACGATACACGGATAGTAGGTTACTCACCAACAATTACTTCAGAATACCATATATTCTTTGTAAAAACGTGCAATGAATAGTCTGGAGTAAATACTGCCAAAAAATAGCTACATGCATGTAGCCAATGTGCTGTAAAGTAGCTGATTTTCAAATTTCCCGAGCACTTACAGGCACATGTATGTACGCATAACTACCAAAAAATCCTTCGGGCTAATTGATTAGCTAAATTATTAATTGGAGAAGGGTTTCGGTTAAAATGGTGGTTTATGGGATGTGTCACCGTGTAACCTGGACCCCGAAAAGGTTATCTGCACAACTACATACGGCTTTGGCTGCACAGCCCTAGAATGGAGATTAAAGTTGGGTTATCGTCCTATGACTCTTGAATAGATCAACTACATACATAATTGGATATTGTAGGAGCTATCAGTTGCCTCTTAAGGGCTGGATCTGCGGAAAGTAATTATAAGTTAGGCGTTTTTATTTTGGGGGTCGCCAATTTGGTGATTGCTCTCTGGCGCTCCCGCAACATGTAACCATCCACATCCCTACACGCCAAACGTTCAAAGTTACAGGGTTATGTACCTGATTTTTTTCCAAAGAAGTTAGCCCCTCCCTTACTCCATACCGCACTTACTCTTTTTATTGCCGGTACATGTATCTTATGTGCCAGCATAAACGAACTAGCTTTTCCCCCATCAGTTGCAGGAGAAAAAGGGTAAAACAAAATATAGGGGAAGACAGTCAAGAAAGTCAGTCGGAATACCTATTGTGTCGCCGTTGATTGGATGAACGCGCACCTCCGATGCTGGAGATGCGTCCGGTGTGGCTTGCAGGTGTGGTACGGAGCAGAATAGGTACTCTACTCGCGACAGGCATGAAGTACCCGAATATGCAGCTGCAAGTTTTTGGTGTATTTTTGACTTCTACTCCAATGGAAATTGCAGATTAGGGCGTGCATTTTCGGGTACTTGTTACCTGCTGCGAGTATGTACTCGAGGATGCAGGTGCGGTACCACAGTTTCAGCCTTGCGATGTCAACACCATCGGCCCTATGGCTTGATATTGAGATCAGAAGAGTAGTATTTTGGTCGACACTATAATCTAGAAGATTAGAGTTGGAGGTGGAACAGATCTTAGGGGTACATATGCGTGGGGTGAATCGTGTACCTAATTGCTTCATCATTCAATTACAGATTTATGTTTTCGTCCGAACAATGCTGGCGCGGGGTCGTAGAACTTACCTGATCACCATCGTATTGGACGAACCCCGTTCGAAGATCCAGAGCCTCGGATTAAGCATTCGCCTACCAAGAGTTTAATCCTTCATTGGCAGCACAAAATACCCTATACCTCGTGTCTGCACTCTAATCCTCGTGCTGTACTCTAAGCCTCGAGTTTTTGGCGAAAGATTGGCCCCACCGTTAGAATACACATATGTTGTACATACCAAGATCAAATGCTAGTAGGTAAAGCCAGGGGGGGGGGGGGGGGGCTTTCAAGCCGACAGTATGTAACTACAGCCACTCAGCAAAAGTGTTCGTGATTTAGTTTTAATGTCAGTGCACAGTGTGGCGCACCCGTATTCTTGATGTTATTAATGTTGAGATTCAAAATAAGGAAAAATATATAATATAGTTGGTGACTATATATAAAAGAAGATAGGTCATTGATCTTATTCTTCATTGATTCCGGGCGCCATTGATCACTGGGAAAGTCTTCTCTTGGAGTTTTTTTGATGCTCCGCTACGGTTACCTATGGAGAAATGTCTCACTTCGAAATCGGAATCACGAACACTTTTGCAGAGTGGCTGTACATGTATGGCATAGTCAAAAAACATCAAAGCTTCTAGACAACTAATGCCGAGGTACAATAACGTTCGACCACGTGGGTGAGATGTGGGGTAGTGAGATAGGTAATACCGTGCGGACTGTATTCCCCGAGAATTTTCTCCATATACCGCCATAACTCGAAAAATTGGCTAGATCAAAATTACTTGTACGGGAAACTTCTGGTGCAGATCGATGCCATTCAACCAATCACTCAAGTGGTAATCCCTGGACGGAGATAGCCAATTTTTCGAGTTTTGGCGGTAGACAGGTACCTCTAGAGCGGGCGTTTTTTAAGCATTTGAAACCTCATGGCGTTGTTGGCGATTGTAGCCTAGAGGGGTTGTGCGTTTTTTTGCTGTTCTCGGCAGAGCGATAAGGAGGGCGGCGGCCAGGATCAATACATGTACCTAATAGCCACAATTGTACAACCAAGATCAATTGGAGAGATAAACTTTAATTGTGCACACAGTAAGATCGCGTTGCAAAACGGGAACCGACGCTTTAGAAACATATTAAGGGGCATATTCTCACGGTCATGGCATGTCATGCGATATATTGAAGCTTGAGCCGAGTAATAAAAAAAAAGCAATTAATTGAGAATTCCATTCAATAACCACTGCACCATGAGTGAGATTTCATGATCCAAGTGCGATTAGTCATGCGGCTCTTCAAACCTTCACCTCAAAGAGGATCTGTAGCAAAGAAAAAAAAACCTCATCCAATTCAAAGCCTCCCTCAAATGTCGCCATTCAACATCCCCCCTATGCTAAAGCGAGTCTTTGACTCCTTTCCGCTCCTCATACTCCCCGATGATCCTCTGCCATCGGGATATCTGCAACCCAGCAAAGACAGGCCGTCGCTATACGTCTTCACCACTCCTGCAGACGCAGCAGCTGGAAAACCGAGCTTCAACCCAAGCTGTCTAAAGTGGCAGGTGGGTACAAACCTCCACCCGAAACCGAAACCCAATCGTTATATATACCGTTATCTGAGGCTGTAGTTGTTGTTGGGTTGTAGACATATCTGAAACTCTGCGGGATCGATTGTAGGATCGTTCCCTCAAGCAACCATGCCTCGCCCTCCGGCGCGCTACCGTTCCTCATCTCTGCTGCTGCGGCCCCTTCTTCGGCCACTAAAACGATATCTGTGGGTGCGCTGAGAAAGTGGGCCGCCGAGAATGGGAGTGCGCCAAATGAGATCCCCGAGAAGGAACAACCACGGGTGCAGGCATTTCTGGCGATGCTGAATTCGCAGATACGAGATGCATGGGTAGGTTCAACTTTCGTCTTCCTCCTACAATAGACATGTCAGATGTCACTAAACAGAATCGAAGCTACACACTCTCTACCTCTCCCCCACAAACTTCCTCACCATTACCTCGCCGCAGTACCGCTCCACCACTGTCAGCGCCGTAAATCTGATCCTGTCACATCAGATGCAGGCCGCCGCGACTCAGGAGCTTCTGAAGGCTCGCCCAGGTGGTATCATCAACCCAGACGACATCTATGCTGATGCAGAATCCGCAATTTGGGCTCTGTCGGCGGTGCTAGGCGAGGATGAGTGGTTCTTTGGTGCGAAGGAGCCCGGGTACTTCGACGCTGCCGTGTTTGGGTATACCCATCTGGTGCTGGCGGCAGAGTGGGATGAGGGAGAGGCGGGACTAGTGAGAGCGGTGAGGAAGTATGAAAACTTGGTTTCGCATGAGGAGAGGATACGTAGAAGGTGCTTCCCAGGCGTGAGTGTTAGAGAGAAGTAGGGCGAAAGATGAATCTAGGCTTGTCTGCTCCTCCTTTCTCTTCCTCAAGTTGAGGATGAATGTATATATGGTAGATAGAAGTATCTCTCCTCGAAAGACCTGGAGGTCACCAGTAATGAAATATCATCTATTTGCAGCATGTGTCTACCGGTTCTCGTAAATCTTTACATGCAATCATGGAATGCATCTGTTTGTTACTGATCTAACCCGATAAATATGTAGATGTTCCAGTTAGAAAAAACCAATCAAAGTCGATCGCAAAGCGATGCATGAGAGGAACCTGATGGTATATTGGTAAGAGAAAATCCGACTCTAAGATATAGATGACAGGATCGTAGTTATCTAGGTTACCTGCCGTTAAACAGAGAGGGAACAAGAAAATCCACATTTCAATATCTAAACAGAGTTTTCTGTACACGTGTACACATTTGTCTCATAGATATTCGTAAAATAGGCTTTGCCTTAGTTCTCTACTAAAGCCTCTCCGTGGGTAATTCTAGTCACGATTTATCGATGAATAAAGGTATGCAATGCCTCTTAACCGACTATCCCCCATTCAACTACTAGAGATACATATCCATCAATTCACAGCTTGAGATAAAAGTCGTCGAATCATGAATTATCACTCGGACAACTTAGCTCCAGTAGTTATGTTTCAACCAAGGTGCGAACAGGCCACTTATTTAAGTTATGTTCATAGATAGCTCGCACACTGCAAGACCCAAATTTGGGTGACGCCCTAAAGAGTCGAAACGCTTCGTTAAGAGCGGGGTGATAGTTTCGGGACCCACTGGGGGTCAAGCCGTTTAGGTATGCCCTATTGGCGAATAAGCCGAAGCGAAGTATAGTATCAACCCGATGAAGAGAAAAGAAATTATAAGCGGGCAAGTACATACCCGTTTCTCTGCGTTTTGTTCACTAAACGTTAAGCATCGCGGATAGGTCAATCATTGAAACTTACGATCCGGCAACACCACCATAAAACCATCCTACCTGTGTTCATGACTTTCGAAGGCCTTTCCCGTATATTATTATCATTGTCTATTACCGAGAACTATCATAGAATTAAGATTTGTGCGCACCTTTGGACGTCTCAAATACGCTCAAGATCCTTTGTACCGGATCATCCCAAACCACAAACCTGTACTTCGGATTTCAAGGCTACTTCCTAGCTACCATAGTACTAGTCTTAATTACATTCCTCTACATGTAGTTTTCGGTATTGCTCAGCGAAGCCACGAGCATGGGAAACAAAGATAAGACCAATATCGTACGTAAAGACCCAACTGATGTGTAACTTACCCTTGTCACGAGCTCTTTGTTTTCTACCAGGTTGAGCCGGTGCAGCCCATGCATGCTCTACTGTTGGTAAGTTAAACCGGTGCCTCCCTAGAGTCAAGAGAACTCCCGTTCTCTGTACAAATCTCGAACCCCCAACAACAAGTTTCGTGGTATGTAGCACGGAAGTAACCCAGCGATGTTCCTAGCTCCGGGGAAATTTTGAGTTTATGTCATTACCTCTCTCGCTTAACCTCTAGTCGAGAAGCTAAGGCTGCTCGCTTATTTAGATGCAGTTAGCTGCACAGAGAGGTTACCGCAACGTCCGACAACCAGCTGCGAAGGCTTGGCGAGTACATGAGTTAGCATGGAGGCGGTAGCTTTGATGTAGCTTGCCACCTTCAGTATCGAGTCGAGCTCCATGTAACTCTGGTCGGAAGAAATGCCATATCTCAAGAAGAAACAAGTGGTCTATGTATCGAAACAAACTCGAAGCAACCCAAATGTTCTAGACAATCGATCTAGAAATCATGTACATACATGTAGCTATATATAGTCGAAGAACGATCGATCGATATGTGTCGAGCCGAATGTTTCGATGCAATTCTCCATGGGATATTTTCCCTTATTTTCCTTGGGAATATCTTAACTAGGGCGGATTGGCCACAAAGGCCGCATTCGTAGTTAATCTACTTGATTATGCCAACCGAGTTACCCAGAGGTCCAAAAAGGGGTATTATATATCATTGATACCTGTATCCTAGTGGCTTAGGTGTACTAGTATCGACAATTGCAACCACTTTTGCCGATGAAGCTGTACTGAGAATAAAGCAGAATGGGGGCTTAAAAGTTTCACCCGTGGTGCTGATTAATTTGTGTAGAGCCTATAGAAATTTGTATGAGGCCTAGAGCTCAACTTAGAGTGAAAAGGCCGCCCTAGTGACAAAAATCATAACGTGCCCACATACTTGACCATCTCAACCTCTGGGATACTGGAGGGCGAGTAGGAAGAAAACGAGAATTTGCCACTCCTCAGCATACCGTTCCTTTCACGTCGGGGTCGTAGCACGCCATATCTGTTTTCATTTGGCCCATTCGTAGTAAAACACCTTTATCTACAACCCAATGCCGCGCACAGGGCCATAATCTTCTCCAAGGCTCCATGTAGAACACTACCTGAAGTTCGTTCTAATCGATAATCTTCGACAGCAGGTGCTCCGGGGATTGACCTGCTGACCTCCTGTGGCTCACGCCAAATCAAAGAACTCTCAGATCGTAATAAGACCAATATGAGATTTTTAAAGCTTGACTCCAATTCTTTTTATTACTGCTCATACATACAGCAAGTATGTGTCCGAGGTATTCATTTGCGGAGTAGGAATACACCTCTTGGAGACAAGTCCGCTCCAGATCTTAAGATCTTATGTCCTCCGTAAATATCACGTATCGCAGGAGAATAAAATCTTTCCTAGAAATAGTATCGCCTTTGATAGTTGGTTTTTCCTGAAATCGAGTAATATAAGAGCCATCATTGTAGAAGCTCCCCGCGAATTCTGTCTACAATACTGGATCACCCAAATATAAACGTCCTAAGTATGATGTTTGTACCTATATTTGAGCTTTTAGTACTCTCTGCTGTTGGGCTAGCCCAAGATACCGCCGCCCCAGTCCCCACAACTAGTGGGCTCACTCAAGATGCACCTCAAGTCTCATCTAGCGGTGTTACGAATGTACCGCAAGTTTCTGTCCTTCAAGCCTCATCCACCGTTGCTTTAGTTGTACCCCAAGCTTCTGATGCGCTTGGATCCACTACCGGACCTGAGGCCTCTGCTGTACCTGAAATCTCCGCCGAACCTCTGGTTTCTGCTGCACCTGAAGCCTCTACTGAACCTCAGGCGTCTGATGCATCCGAAGCCTCTGGTGTACCCGAAGCCTCTGGTGTACCCGAAGCCTCTGGTGTGCCTGAAATCTCTGGTGTACCCGAAACCTCTGGTGTGCCTGAAACCTCTGGTGTACCCGAAGCCTCTGCCGTACCTGAGGTCTCTGCCGTACCTGAAGCTTCTGCTGTACCTGAAGCTTCTGCTGTACCCCAGGTTTCTGGTGCACCCCAAGCAACCGCTGTACCGCAAGCGTCTGCCCCTAGCGAAGCTACTGAAGAATTGCCTGTACCTACCGTCACTCTTGGAATTGTCGAGGGTGACATACCCGTTCCGGCTTCTAGCATCGCTGTGATCGCTGTGGAGGTACCCGCCGTTTCTGCACCCAGTGAGCCACAGGTTGAGCCTACAGAGGCTGTTATTCCGGAGGCTACAGCCCCAGAGACTGTTAACCGTGTCGTTTCTCCCCCTAGTGCGCCGCAGGTCCAACCTAGGTTTCCGGAGCCTGCTGTTCTGCCAACACTTCCAGAACCTATTGACGGGACTATCGCTCTCCCCCCATTTTCAGGAGTTGTGGCCGAGTAAGTGGATATATAAAGTCCATTATTTTTCTATGGTTAAAGCATGTTGTTATTAACAAGTATATTTTGATCAGTTATCAGTGCCCTATTGCAAACGGTAACTTCTGTTACTATATTGGTAACTTGGTTTCGCCATATATTGTTCGTTGCAACAACGGCAAAGGATCAATTGGAAGCTGTAAGATTATAATTATGTCATCCTCTTTGAGCAGAAATCAGGCTGATGTCGTGAAAAGGTATTGATGCTTTGGTTACTACCGGTACCGAAGGTCGATGTAAGTTCCCCTTTCTATTGTTTTGTATTACTTGATAAGGGCTTACACTGTAAACCAAACATAGGCCACCAACCAGACCCTAGTTTGTTCAATGCCATTTGTGTGAGCAGGACTACTGCGTAAGTTAATTCCTATCAAAATCCAGAGGGAGTTTCGAGTCTCACAAGCAAATCCATACAGCTACCCCGAGGACGGCAGTTTGCCATTCCCAATCCCGCCCCTTGACTTCCCGCCAATTGCAACGAATATACCTCTTCCTCTCGTTTCAGCAGTCCCACCAATTGCTACAAATGCCACTCCCCCATCGAATGGGGCCGTCCCTGATGATCCACCTCCAGGACGACCGGGGAATGGAAACAACAATATCAATAGTAATACCAACATCAACAACAACCAAAATTCTAACGTAAACCAGAATGGCAACGGTGGTCCTGATGGTGGGCGACCCGGTGACGGCTTTCCAGACGGCGGACGCCCTGGCGATGGCGGCCGTCCTGATGATGGACGACCCGGTGACGGCTTCCCAGACGGCGGACGCCCTGGCGGCGGTCGTCCTGAAGGTGGACGCCCCGGTGATGGCTTCCCAGACGGCGGACGCCCTGGCGACGGATTCCCAGGTGGTGGTGACGGTCGTCCCGACGGCGGATTTCCAGGCGGCAACGGCAACGTCAATAGCAATACCAACACTAACAACAACCAAAACATTAACACAAACCAGAATGGCATTGGTCTTCCTGATGACAGGCCAGAAGTTGGCCTTGACAATGGTCCTGGTGTTCTTCCAGGCAGTCCTTCCGATGGTGAAATTGGTGGTCCAGGTAATGGAAACAACAATCAAAATACCAACATAAACCAAAATACAAATACCAATACCAACACGAATGGAAACACGGCCAGGAGAGATATCGAAGCCGGGGTCCCAAATGTTATTGCAGATGTGGATTTCGATGAGATGGAGTTAGATGAGGATTTATACTCATTGTTAAAGCGTCATGAGGAGGAGGGCATCAAGAAGGCTGCGGGTTCTCACCTTGAGTTTAAGACCTACGAGATGATTGCTGCTATTGCGGCAGCCATGATGTTGATGTAAAGTGTGGTAAGATGGAGTTTTATACGTGAGATATTCGGGTCAGAACTTGTTCTTACTGGTTATTTCATTCCCGCGGATGTATCATTTTTTTTTTCTTAAATTTATAGACAAATCAATTTAATGAATATATAGCTAATTAAGCTATCATTATTGAAAAAAAAGACGTGAATTGAGCATCGACCCTTTGAAGGGCTTTGCGAAACGAAAGGGGCTAATTCTGCGAATACCCGTGCAGCTAGGTAAGCTTCTAATAGAACCCTTCTTTCACTGCGAGGAATCCAAAGAAATAGTTCACAGTCGTTCTGCAATTAAATTAAAAGAGGGCATTTGTACGCTGTAGTTACATGACGCCAAGACCAATATTACATAATAATAGAAATGTGGCGTAACAGGAGGTGTTTGGTGTTGGTGTCGGCGAGCTCCTCAAGGTTTTTCTTATTTTAAAGATAATGTTTTTGTTCACCGCTACTCCTCTGCTGGGTGCATGCCAATTATGCTTTGTTCAATATTGATCGATTTTGGAAGAATACATGTAGGTTGGTTGACGACATCATGGCCGTTGTAGTGGCTGTGTCTGACAGCTTGAGCCTCATGTAGCTGAAACGCCAAGCCAAAAGCGGAATGGTTTGCTGATGTGAGTGATCAGGACTACAACCGTTACAATTCCCTAGGCGCAGGTTTGAGAACACCCTGGCCATAGTTCAGGACAACTCTTGCGAATTGAACCCTCAAACACACCCAAAGCGCCAGCCAAATCCCGCCGCCCATCTCAGAATTCTCCCTGCTTCCCTTAAACACCTCTCCCTTCCCCGCCGTTCCCGCCGCAGCCGCACCCGCCCTCTGTTGTTTCTGCCCCTCTTCTCTACACCCTCCTTCCTCAGACCCCCGCAGCTCGAGCACATACCTATCAATCACTCTGCGCGGCTTGTCTCCTTCTCTTTTCCTGGACCTTCCCAACCCCTTTCTAATTCCTAGTCCTGGATCCCCGCATCTCAATTCAAGATGCAGTCCATGCTTACCAAGGTGAGACCTTCACCCCACTTTGACCTTTGCTATCGGAGAGCCTTCAATCGCTAACTATAGAATAGTTCGAGTCAAAATCATCACGAGCTAAAGGCATCGCTTTCCATCCTAAACGGTAGCTTCGAACTCCTCACCTACTATTTAAGCTTCAGTTTTCATCATTACTATGATGCAATAGCAGTAGATTGCTAATTTGTATCAAATTGTCCTCCATATAGACCATGGATTCTTGTCTCACTCCACACCTCGACTATCCAGCTATGGGATTACCGCATGGGAACTCTGATAGACAGATTTGAGGAGCACGACGGTCCCGTACGGGGAATCGATTTTCACCGCACTCAGCCGCTATTTGTTTCCGGGGGTGACGATTACAAAATCAAAGTTTGGTCATACCAGACTCGCCGCTGCCTATTTACCTTGAATGGTCATTTGGACTACGTTCGAACGGTCTTCTTCCACCACGAACTACCATGGATCTTGTCATCCTCGGATGATCAAACAATTCGCATATGGAATTGGCAGAATCGGTCATTGAGTATGGACTCCATCTTGCGTGTTTGAGGGATATTGTGTCTGTGTCAATGTTGAATATTGATACTTTTTCTCCAAACAGTTTGTACCATGACCGGTCACAATCACTACACCATGTGTGCCCAATTTCACCCCAAAGAAGATTTGGTTGTCAGTGCTTCTTTGGATCAGAGCGTTCGGGTATGGGATATTTCAGGTCTACGGAAGAAACACTCGGCTCCAACTTCAATGACTTTTGAAGACCAGATGGCTCGTGCAAATAACAACCAAGCAGATATGTTTGGAAATACCGATGCAGTAGTAAAGTTCGTCTTAGAAGGCCACGATCGGGGTGTTAACTGGGTCTCTTTCCACCCTACGTTGCCTTTGATTATCTCTGCAGGTGACGATAGAAACGTCAAACTTTGGAGGATGAGTGGTGAGTGATTTGGCAAAATCATTGAACCTGAGAGTTTGGGGAGCTAAACAGCTTCTCTTTGTAGAAACCAAGGCATGGGAGGTAGACACTTGCAGGGGACATTTTCAAAATTCCTCAGCATGTCTTTTCCATCCCCACCAGGACTTAATTCTGTCAGTCGGAGAGGACAAAACTATCCGTGTCTGGGATCTGAACAAGAGGACATCTGTTCAATCTTTCAAGAGGGAGAATGACAGGTTTTGGGTTATTGCAGCTCATCCGGAAATCAATCTCTTTGCCGCAGGTCATGACAATGGTGTCATGGTGTTCAAGTTGGAACGGGAGCGACCCGCTTATGCAGTTCATCAAAACCAAATTTTCTTCATCAACAAGGAGAAGCATGTCAGGTCTTACGACTTCAATACAAGCACTGAGAGCCCTTCGATGTTGTCCTTAAAGAAACTAGGATCTGCTTGGGTACCACCAAGGACGTTGTCCTACAACCCTGCTGAGCGTGCAATCTTGGTCACATCTCCTGCAGATGGGGGGACATACGAGCTTATCAATTTGCCAAAGGATGCCTCTGGCGCTGTGGAGCCTACTGATACCAGGCGCGGGACAGGGAATTCCGCCGTATTCGTTGCTCGTAACAGGTTTGCTGTTTTCAATACGTCGACACAGACGATCGACATCAAGGACTTGTCAAATTCTACAACAAAGTCGATCAAAACACCAACAACGGTGAATGATATCTATTTCGGTGGAACTGGCTGCTTACTCCTATGCTCTCCTGCAGTTGTCATTCTCTATGATATTCAGCAGAAAAAGACAATCGCCGAGTTAGCTGTTGCGGGTGTAAAATATGTTGTTTGGTCAAACGATGGTCTTCATGCAGCGCTTCTCTCGAAGCACAATGTCACAATTGTGACAAAGACCTTGGAGCAAGTATCCTCGCTACATGAGACAATCCGTATAAAGAGTGCAACTTGGGATGATGCTGGCGTACTGCTTTATTCTACCTTAAACCACATCAAATATACTCTTCTAAACGGGTAAGTTTTATACACCTTGAATACCAAGATTGCGAATGACTAATATAAACAGTGATAATGGAATTATCCGCACACTGGATGAAACTGTTTACCTTACCAAGGTCAAGGGTAGGAGTGTGTATTGTCTTGACCGACAAGCAAAGCCAAAGGTGCTTACCATTGATCCGACCGAGTATCGGTTCAAAATGGCCTTGGTCAAGAGGAATTACGATGAGATGCTACAGATCATCAAAAACTCTAATCTCGTCGGCCAAAGTATCATTTCATACCTTCAAAAGAAGGGTTATCCAGAGGTAATTTATTTCAATCTGTGTCTCATATGGAAAGAGTTAGACTGATAAATCTTAGATTGCTCTGCAATTTGTCCAAGACCCTCAAACAAGGTTCGAGCTCGCGATCGAATGTGGAAACCTTGAAGTTGCCGTTGAAATGGCCAAGGAATTGGATCGTCCAAAACTCTGGGGAAGACTTGGCGCCGAGGCACTCAGTCAGGGAAATCATCAAGTCGTCGAAATGGCTTATCAAAAGCTTCGGAGCTTCGATAAGCTATCCTTTTTGTATCTCGTAACTGGGGACAAGGACAAGCTTAACAGAATGGCAAAAATTGCCCAGCATCGAAGTGATTATACCTCCATGTTTCAGAACGCCATTTATCTTGGAGACGTGGAGACTAGGATTCAAATGTTCAAAGAGATTGACTTATGTAAGTTTCTCATCATTGGCTCTTGTCTTCGCATGCTTATTTAAGTCGGATAGACCCCCTTGCGTACGTGACGGCCAAAGCCCATGGCTTAACAGAAGAATGCGAGGCTATTTTGGAAGCAAGCGGTCTTACTGAGGATCAAATTAAGCTCCCCGCAATTGGCGCACCTCTTACTCCTGCGAGGACAATCGTTTCTACCCACGAGAAGAACTGGCCTCTACGCGCTGCCTCACAATCATTCTATGAAAAGGCCCTTTTGGGTCAGGTTGAATCCATGACCCTTGAAGACGAACCTGTGACATCTGGTGCAAATGGTTTCGGGTTTGAGGATGAGGCCGACGAAAGCAAGAAATTCAGTGGCAATTTGATGGATGTCGACACTGAAGAAGACGGCGGTGGGTGGGATATGGGTGACGAGGACCTCGGCTTGGAGGACCATGGTGATGAGTTTGTCAATGTCGAGAGCGAAATAGCAGGTGTTGGAATGAGTGAGGCGGAGTTATGGGCAAGGAACTCCCCGATAGCGGCCGATCATGTTGCTGCTGGATCTTTTGAGACTGCAATGCAACTTCTCAACCGCCAGGTAGGCGCTGTCAACTTCGAGCCGCTGAAGCCTAGATTCTTGGAGATCTATCAAGCAAGCAAAACTTTCCTTCCGGCCAGCGCTGGCCTACCTCCCTTAATCAATTACGTCCGAAGAACTGTGGATGAGACCGATCCCCGGAAGATTTTGCCGATCATCCCTAGGGATCTTGAGAGTATTCGCACTTCCGATTTGCAAAAAGGTTTTTCTGCCATGAAGGCGAATAATCTCGAGGAGGGCGTACAAATTTTCCGGAACGTTCTGCACACCTTACTCCTGACTACGGTGCAATCCAAGTCTGAGGTAGAGGATGCGAAAAAAATCATCCAGACCGCGACAGAATATATCATTGCCATGTCAATTGAACTGGAACGTAGGGGCCTCGCAAGCGATGAGTCTCAGGTCAAACGCAACCTCGAGTTGGCTGCGTACTTTACTAAGCCTATACTTGAACTACCGCATCGACAAATTGCCCTCATGTCTGCGATGAAACTTGCCTACCAGAAGAAAAATCATGTTTTGGCTGCTCACTTTGCTTCGAGAATTCTGGCGAATAATAGCCAAGGGAAGAACGCGGAAAACGTGAGTAGTTATCATCGAGTGATATTCTATGATTCATTTAACTGACCATTATACATATAGGCACGCAAAATCAAAGCAGCATCCGAACGTAGCGGCAGTGACGCTGTTGAAATTGAGTACGATCAG